GATGGTCTCGATCTCTTGACCTCGTGATCCACCCGCCTCGGCCTCCCAAAGTGCTGGGATTACAGGCTTGAGCCACCGCGCCTGGATTCTTTCACTTTTTATTAGTCACAAGTAAATTTATTGATCCGATTTGTTGAGACTTCATAAGTCACGAGGATGTAAATGCATAAATGCAGCACACAAATATGAAAGTACTTCCTGTGTCACAGATGATCTGTAATAAGCCATAAATATTCCTGCTGGAGTTAGTTTGTAACTTTAAATCAGAGATGAAAAATATCATTGGTGAAGAAATAACTGATTTTTCATGTGGAGAAGGCGTTTTTGTCCAGGCTGCAAAGCTGACTCTTCCTGAATTTAAAGAGAACTTTGGCTTCTTTTGTTTTCTAATTATCCTGTTTTGTCTTACTATATGTCTTATTATAGAGGTTATATTATATACATTACAGCTTTCCTTCTTTTACTGTGTTATGGCAACAGTTTTCTCCCTGTTGTCTTTATGCCATGGCATTTCACATGGTACTTTATAGGTTTTAATGAGAAAGTTTTTGGTTTTTAACGAACTGGAAAAAATTGTTTTAACTGGAGAATTTGCTTATCATTATAACTTTTAGACTGATAAGAGGCATACATTTTTCATGGGTGAGAGAACCCATCACTTAGCATTGTTTCTTTGTAAAAGAAAAATCTTTTTTTTTTTTTTTTTAGGTGAAGTCTTGCTCTTGTCACCCAGGCTGGCGTGTAATGACGTGATCTTGGCTCACTGCAGCCCCGCCTCCTGCGTTGCCTCAGCCTCCTGTGTAGCTGGGTACAGGCACCTGCCATCACGCCCAGTTAATTTCGGTATTTTTAGTAGAGATGAGCTTTCATCATGTTGGCCAGGCTGGTCTCGAACTCCTGATCTCAGGTGATATGCCCTCCTCAGCCTCCCAAAGTGCTGAGATTACAGGTGTGAGTCACTGTGCCTCTCCAGAAAAATCTATTTGATTCTAACACAAAGTGTGGTAAATAATTTGTTAGACTCT